GTTGTTGTTGTTGTTGTCTTCACATTAAAAACCATCCCGGTCTCTCTATCCAGTACCTCCTTCTGTCGCAATCTCTCCGTACTAATAATCCAGCACTTGACTCGGTCAATTTCCGTGGTCACAGGCTAACGTACCTAGAAAAGGTATACCAAAATAAAATGGACCCCAAGGGTTAACAGAGCGATAAAATATAAGAAAACAAAATAATCAGAAACAATAAATAATTAAATAGTGGAACGTGCGCACCATTGCTCCATATGTATACATGCCCATCTTTTTTTCCCAACAGAGAGCCCCCCTCTGTTCGCTCTCGCTCTCTCCCGCTGCTTTGGCAACAAGGCGGAGGGAATTGACCATCAATATAACCAGGCTACTACTTACGGGCACCCTCACGCTTGAGATATTGTTGCAGTCCAACAGGCAGGTCTGCACCAGGTGAGAGGGAGTGGGCAAACAGCAGTAGCAGGGGTAGTTTCGAAACAGGGGATGGCTGCCTTTCTCGAGATGAAGACATCTCGGCAAATACAGACACAGGCGCCCTCTCAAAATCATCAGCCGGGGGAAGAACGAGAGGGGCGTGCACTCGAAGTGCCCCTCTCTTCATACGGCACTCCTCTCCACAAAGAGGTCGCCGCAGACTGATTCAGCTAGCCCATGTCTCCTGCAACTGCGTCCATCCGCCCTACACCCCCCGAAGCCGCCCAGAAAACTCAGGGAAAATGTATCCACATCCTCCCGGCTCTAAAGAACGGCGGCCACGCAGCCGTGTGGGTCGAAGCTTACTCCACCGTAGTTGACCCGGTCAATGGCAACCACCATAATTCAGAACTCACCCCCTGCTGGGACTGGTGATACTGTTATTCCCGCTGCTGGCAAGCATGCGCCGTGCGAAAGCCTGACACAGCAGTCGAGGGGACACACCCAGCTTTTCCCAGCAATCTGTCTTTTGAAAAAGTGCTTGTTTTCCCACACGACCATGTACTGCTGCTGTACTGCTGTTTTCGAAAAATATCCGAAGTTGTTGCCTCTTTACGCGTGCCCTTGCGGAGGCGGCTCGACGTGAAGGTTTGGGGGCCTGAGGCAGGCGGTGAATTGGTTTTAAGCTTGAGGGCCCCTGGAAATTGCGCCGACTGCTCTTTATTGAAGATGGTCGCACCCTCTGTGTCGTGTACGTTGCCCTGCGAAGATAAACATGCTATAATAGTGTACATACATGCTGCTCTGATGGAAGCTTTCGGTGTTTCCGTGTCTGAGTTCGGGAGCAACTACAAGCAACGCTCCCATCTTTCATGTATCTAAACCGCAAAAGACACTCGACATGCTCTGTTGCTTTCGCGAGCAAGCTCCCGTTGTTTTAGAAACAATCGCTGTTTTTGCCCAGCATTGCTCTTGCATCAAAAAGTAGGTGCACAGGTGCGGCGATGCTGCAAATTTGCCTGCAGGAGAGAACACCGCGACAAACACGATAACGAACACACAGCCTGTCGGAATGGTTCTGCTCCACGTGGTTGTCTCTCGTGAGGCCTAAACCACAGCAATCAGCGAGGATATGTCGACCACAGCAATCAGCGAGGATATGTCGACATGGGTATCATTGCAAACCGTAGTCCGGGACCCGTATTTCTGGAATGGTGTGGCATCTGCGGAGCAACCGCTCGCCGGTGCTCATTGGCGGAGCATCACCGGTTCCCACACGTCAAATATGGCACCCCTTTCCGCCCCTCCCCTTTCCGCCACCCCCAACACACATGCGGTATTGATGCCACCCACCGACCCCCCCGGCCTCGGCCCCGTGGAATGCCTCTTGCAGCGCTCCGTTAATCGCGAGGCACAAGGTGCAGCGTGAGCAAGAGCAACAGTCTGATGAGGCAGGTTTTAAGAATGTGTAGGCGTTGCCTCGTCTGGTACCGTCAAAGGTCGAAGAACGATCTCGGGAGCGTTCTTCTCGCCCGGCGCTTTCACCTTAGCTGCGCAATATACTACCCCCCCCCCTCCTCTGGACCGGTTATCAGAGCTCGGCTCCTCCACGACGAAGAGGACGCCAATGTATCTAATATCACGTTGTTGTCGGGTATTTCTCCACGAGGCCTTTTCTTTTTTCAACGCTGCAGCACCGTCCGTCGCTTTTTTTCTGCGGAGTACTGCCGTAGATTATATGACACAAGATAACACACACCCCGTACCGATGTTCGAAGCTCTATTACTCCAAGACGCAGCGGATACCGATATCAAATGATACTTTCTTCGGAAAGCACTCCAAGAGACGGTTCCAACGCCGACATGTCACTGCCTTCTTCAGCCTTGAAAGTCGATCCCGGAAGTGGTGTCAAATCTTACGTCATGTCACTTACGGTAATATTCCAGCTTTGGAAATCGGTCCATGGGGGGGTGGGTGGTATCGTGCGCAATCAACTGTATCTGGCATTTGGAACGGCATTATTCGTCCCTCGACCCTTGTTAGCAAGAGCTGTATGGTATGGAAAAATACCTCACGGGAAGGTCAGTACCCGTAGTACTGCTGTAGTGTCGTAAGTAGATACTCCGTGCAACCTTTGTAGACCTTTTGACGGTGTTTTTCTGCAAGTTCTGCGGGCTGGAGCGCGGGTGGATGACTGTCTTCTGTCTCTGTCTCTCTAACTTTGCGACGTATAAGAGCTATCTTCAAGCTGGCCGGCGTTGATTTCTCACGCATTCGGAGTACAAGGGCGGTGAGGCCAGAAAACTCCAGCAGCATATTTCCGCTTTCTCGACATCCGCAGGAGCAGCCTCCCCCCGCTTGATGCCATGCCAACGTGCCGCTCCCTGCTGGCCTGCTTTTGTGTTAGCTCCCTCCCCTAACATGAGTACGCCCCCCCCCCCCCCCCCCCCCCCCCCCCCCCCCCCCCCCCCCCCCCCCCCCCCCCCCCCCCCCCC